TAAAGCAATCCTCATAAAAGGCAAATCGAGTTCATGGAATGAAAAATTCAAACTATTTCATAGTGTTGTCCAAGCTACCGCTCTGCATGGAGCTGAAACATGGGCCGTTTTTAAACCGGAAGGGCTTGAAGGAATACTCACCAAGTATCTCAAAGACGTTCTGCAATGTCAGAAAACTACCCCTAATCATATGCTCCGCCTGGAAACCGGCGCGAGGCATGTTAGTAACTTCGTATGGGCGCGAGCATTAAACTGGTGGATGAAAGTATTAAAACAAAAACCAACGTCTTATACGAATTTGCTTTATAATCGGTTGAAACACCTCGACTCCTGGGAACGGCTGAATACAACTGGGCATCACAAATACGTCATTTTATAGAAAATCTGGGGTATGGGAACACCTGGCTACAGCAATCGCATCATATGACTAAAAGTTCTATCAGAAATGTAATTGACCAACACTTGACAACTTTAAAATCTGCAGATATCGAAACGAATACAAAATTTAACGACCACTACAACAAATTATGGCTATGAAGCATAATTATGAAATGTCAGCATATTTAACGTTTAAAGTCCCAATTATAAAGATCAGAACAGTAGCACAACTCAGACTGGCTTACAAAAATGGGACGCGCATTCTAAACTGTGTTTATAATTATATACTTAATGCATAATAAGATCATTTTGTTTAAATGAATGATATTAGTTGATTTACTTATTTTTATAGGACAATGGTTTCTTTTTTGTCATAATTATTTAGAAATTTATAATTTGTTTAAGTTATCTATCATATGTATCTTTTCAGTATGTTCAAGCTTAATTAATCTCTCTCTATTTCTTTGTATGAGGCATTGCCTTAAAACAAATATACGTTTATTATTATTATTATTATTATTGTGAAAAGGAAAGAAAGTTATCAGTCAATGATTCCAATTGAGTAAGATGGTACAAATGTACATTAATTTTAGGTATACTTTACCAGAATAAAGCTTATTTTATTTAATGTTTTGAACTGTGCTAGCGACATAGGGATGAAAAGTTAATTTTGTTGTTGTTTGTTTAGATAAAAAGCTATTAAATAAGAGAAGGACCTTTTATATAATTGAAGATTATGCTTAGGGATTGTAATAAGTAAGTCCTTTCTGAGTGTCAGTTCTGAACCGTATTTTGTGAACGAGAAATTGTGGGCATTTATTGACAACTATTTTATATCTTGTCGCGCCATCACCGATAGATATTGTAGTATCCAAATTGGCTGGATATTTTGTCGCTTTATTTGGATTTGGATAATTTGGCGATAAAAATTGGAAACAAAAATTCAAAAGATTTGAACAAGTGGTCTCTAAAAAGTTGGAATTTGGATTTCTTGGCGGTCCCTTAAAAAGCGTAGTATAAGGATTATTGCGCCTCGTTCGCCTAGAAGCTTCAAGCTTCAAAGTGAGTAACCGAAAGACTCCCAGAACTCAGAATAAAGTCCCTCCAAATTCCGGTGCCGCTAGGGGAAGGAGGGGGCTTTAAACGACCCATTTTTCAGTTTTTCGCTTTTAACTCGAAAATGGTGCGTTACAGTGAAAAAGTTCTTCAGTACAAAATGAAAGCTTATTAAATTTGCTACAAGTTTGGTTATATACATTTTTTCGAAAACTGAACCGTTTTATGGTATTAATGTCCTCGTACCCATCGAATACAACTGCACAATTGGAAGAATAGTGATTTATTATATATGAAGCATACTGCTCACAGATAAAAGAGAAAGTGGTCCCAACATTCCACTTGACTCTGTGAAGGAGAACTACAGTGTAAATCGTTTTGAGGTGCACTGCATCCATGCACACAGGGAAAGCCTCATAGAGAACAGATTTCTTCGTTTTCCTGAAGCATCCTTCGTGGAATAGAGTCATGGGGTATGGAGATAACTCGTACTTCAACAGGTTCGGACTATAGGGATGTTAATGCTGTACAGGTTTTATTGTGACGATTTTCCCCTAAAATGACCGGGGGAGGATTTAGAAGCCAAAAATATACGAAAAACGTGAGTGAAAAACAATTTTGTTTAGAAATTACCACCTTTCCGGAGCCGGTAGCACGAAAACGGTTCAGTTTTTCGTAAAGATGTATATAACCAAACTTGTGGCAATTTTAATAAGCTTTCATTTTGTACTGAAGAACTTTTTCACTGTAACGCACCATTTTCGAGTTAAAAGCGAAAAACTGAAAAATGGGTCGTTTAAAGCCCCCTCCTACCCCTAGCGGCACCGGAATTTGGAGGGACTTTATTTTTTCTTGTTCAGGGAACCTCTCCCTACACATTTCTGAAAAAATTGGAACTAGTATTTTTAGTTCCTCTGATTTTCCTATTTTGACTGGACTATAACAAAGTGACGTAACCCTATCTTATTTTTGACGGTGCCCGAATTAAGGTTCTTCAGAGTAGTATGTTATAGCCGTTTCTAAATATGACCTTGAGATTACTAAAAGGGCATTGCCTTCGTTTCGGGTCGGTAAACTTGTGCTTAAAGTGTATTAACCTTCGTGTCGTGTCGTTTAAACTCGTGCTGCTTAAAGTGTATTAACCTCAATATGGCATTGACCTTTATTGTAGTTTAAATTGTCCGTGAGAATGACCTTTTCTATTTAAAGGTCGTTCACCTTAAAGGCACTGACCTTTTGATAAAAGGTTATTGACCTCGTTGTCTGTTCTTAAACCCTTTAGCTTAATGGTTTTGATCTCCGCTAATTGCGCATAGTGGGGCGCAGTAATTATATAGCCCACTCGTCGTGTAGATCAAATAATCATGGCATGGCTAGCGTATGCGGAGCAATCGTGGATCAAGGCGATAGATTTTGTAACAGCGGTAGAACGCCTTAAGCAAAAGTTTTCGGCGTTAGTATTTGACGCCGAACATGAAGCAATATATGGCAATGGTGAATATAGTGAGGAGGAGTGTCTGGCCATCGCTAAAAAATACGAGTTGGGCGAAGAAATATGTGAGAGTTATTTAAACAGTAAAATATGTGAGAAATGTGTAGTACGCAGATTGATAAAGGCCAATTTAGAACAGTTTATTAGTGAGTTAAGTGATTGGACTGAAAATGAAGAAGAGAGTTACAATTGACGAAACACGGAATCAAGTGTACATAATGGTAGCGTGGTCGTTTGCTTACGGTAAAGCACGAAGAGGTTCGTGGGAAACAGTCGCGCTCGATAGATTTCGTTTCCGAAATAAAATCGAACAACTTAGTAGAGTTTTGTCTTCGGTATTAGAGAAAAGTCATCGGGACAAAGTCTATCGTGAACGATTCGCCTCCCCTCCACAACTTTAGCAATATAAATGTAACTGCAGTAGCGCTTAAAATTATTCCGACAACGTACGCGAACTGGTTAAAATGGATCTTGATACACTGAACAATACCACTTTCTGCAAGCCGTTCAAAAATGTAAAAGATCTGGAGGTGGGGGAGAAATATCGAATCATCGGCATCGATACAATCAACACAAAATATGGAGACCGGGTAGTCGTGGAGACTGGAAACTTTAAATCTGTGCTTCCCTTACGTTTCTACAACTACTTTAAGGAGGATAATCGTTTACAAACATTCAAAGACTCCTTAGCCAATAAAGAGGTATACATAACAAGTGCTGGATCTGCAGGGCAAACGACTAACTTAAAGTTTATGTAAATAAAATATTTGTGTATTAGAAATGTAAATAAACATGATATAGAAAAATTGTCTTTCACTTCATAAATATACTGTCCATCATAAAAATACCTCAGTTTCATCGTGATCCTCAAGGTGTGCTGTTCCTATGAACATGGATTCTAAAAATAGCTGCAATAATAACTACCTTACGTGTTCGTGTTGGTGTTGTAGTCACAGTGCTACACCTTCACCTCCCCAAGTAGATCATATGCATAATAAAGCGATCGAAGAACGCTTAATCGATTGTACGTCATACGATCTCTTGAATGGTCAATACATTGAAATCGGATATAGTACACATCTTAACCTTACACCAGTTTTAAGAATCGCAAGCTCTTCCGGCGGTGCTATAGTGCTGGTGAAGGAAGATTGGGAAACGCTTCTAAAGTGGCAAGCATACCTTGAAATGAAATTTCTTCGATCTCATGAAGTTGAAAGTCGTATTAATTGGTCGAATGTCAAAGAAGAAGAAGATATCGAATATGATCAAAGTGAGGAATCGCTTAATATCAATATCACAGTTTACTACAATTGGGAATCGGTAAAGGATGCCGAGAAGATGTTGAAAAGTGTAACAATTAAACGTGGCAACCACTTTTGCACAATGAATAAGAACGACATGGAAGAATTTTTCAACTTAAAAGATATAATCAATTATCGACTAGAATTATTGGAAACTTACGCGCTGCCCTGTTTCTATCAAAACATCATTGAAGAGGTGAATAACTACCGACACTTTCGGAGAATGGAATTTGGTGACGATGAGGACAACGATGACATCTATCGCGATATTGAGAATGTGTTAAATTATAAGTACAATGTAAATTCGCACAATACAGTGTGCATGATGGAAATCCTACACTATCGACCTACTTATTTAATGTATCACATATATCAACCTCAATAAACGTTATTATTTTATTAGAGCGTTTTCATTTGATGGACGATTTCCTATAAATATGGCAACTAATTGCCACACTCCAACAATGTTGAATCGGAAGCGGAAGTGTACGGATGGGAGTGGCTTGGTTAATACTCTCATAAACAAACTTCCAGTTGAATTACATATTCCCGGCTATCAGTATTGCGGACCTGGTACTAAATTAGACAAAAGGCTAAGGCGAGGAGATCCCGGTATAAACCCACTAGACGCTCAGTGTAAGGAGCACGACATTAGCTATAGGGATAACCAGGACTTGGAAAGTCGACATCAAGCAGATCGCGTTTTAGAGCGAAAAGCTTGGGAACGATTAAAAGCTTCCGACGCAAAGTTAGGGGAAAGAGCGGCAGCTCTCACAGTAGGCACAATCATGAAAGTGAAACGAAAGTTAGGAATGGGAGTTAAGGGGAAAAGGAGCAGCTTATTGAACCTGCGTAGAAAGATTGCTAAGAAAATGAGGAAAAGCGGAAATACCGCGAACATAATAAAATCAGCTGTTACGGCCGCAAATTTGGCCGTTAAGAGATTAGGGGGTAGGCGAAATGTGAGCGTGCCTAGAATTATTCCTATACCAA